ATATATATATATAATTATGCATATTTTTCTTATATATCTTTCTACTGGCTATTTGTTAGCGTAATGAAAGATTTACAGTCGAACGCAGTTATCATAATATTAATATAACAATCATATTAAATGTATAAATATATAATTTGATAAAACTTTTGAGGCTTTCACGAATTTTCTTCAGAGGTGCCAAAAGGCTTCCGGATTATTGCCGCATCATGATCCATTGCTAATGCCAAGGTTTCGGAAATCTTGCCATTCACTTCATTAGACTCCCTTTATATAAAGGGAATCCTCCAGAGCAATTTAGTGAGCTTCTCGCTCTAATGTACTTCTAACTCTTTCTTTGTTAAAGAGGGGGGAGGGGGGGAATGTTTGGAGGAAAAGAGAGGGAGAAGAGCGGTTCTTTATATTCTATTTACGGTATAGCCCATGTTTCTAAGTTATCTGGATGTTTTTGGAATTCTAGATTTCTTTGTATTTCCTTGTATTTCCTAAAATGATGCCGTTATAGCTATAGTAATTATTTTATTAAATAATATTTGGTATCCTGACTCATTACTGTATTTTATCAATGCTGACTGTGTAACATTTCAATCTATCCCGTTGATGTTTCTTTATGTATACATTGACCGTTCTCCCGATTTCACCGATGTATACTTTTCCGCAAAATCAAGATATTTTATTTGCAAAGTGGAGGCCTTCGATCTTTAGGATTTCTCAAGATTTGACCGATCTTCCTTGAGGATTTGAATGATTCGGATATTGTGCTTGTTCAAAATCTTACCAATCCGATATGTTGCTTTTACAATACTATATGGGAGGCTTATATAGAAATCTGTTGTTTAACTCATCTTGTGGTTATTGTATGCCCAAATTCCTTGCTCTGATCTTATATTTACTGATTGTCCTAATATCCTTCTTATTATCCGTTGTAAAGTTTGTTTCAAATGAGTTCTATCTGCAGGTATATTCTTTGTCAGAGATATTTAATCTCTATACACAAGTGAGTGTATTATTGCTGCCTGATTTTGTGCTGAATGATGGTGTGATTCAGCTGTAGATATCTATCATTATGTGTTAGCTTCCTGTATATATTTGACTCAGGGTTATCAGACTTATTTTGTGACAAGAACATTCAGGAAAGAGAGCCGTCCATTCTCTTCTATGGTACTGGGATGTTGATCGAGGAAGTTTAAGAATTTATTAAGTTCACTATATCGTGTCTATAGATTATGAATGTATCGTTTACATAACGAAACCTTTAATTTGTTTTGTGAATAACTTCTTCATCATGAAGTGCTTCATAAAAATGTTTGTGATTACATGAGAGATAAGAGAGCCCATAACCGTCTCAGAAGTCTGTTCATAGAATTCACAGTTACAGGAGAAGTATATGATTGTTAGGCAATGCTCAATTAAAGGGATAATGTTGTTAGGAACTTTATGTGAGACCTTAATTATATTCAGAGTTTCTTTGATTTACACCTTCATAAAAAATCTATATCAAAGTTCATCAACATAGGGTGAAAACGAATTCTTTTGGATTTTTCGTACAAAGTTTATCGGGTTTATACAATGCGGTCCTTCCTACTAGAGATTGTAATTTATAAGCTAGAAGAAGTGACAAGTCATATGTAGGATTTTATGGCACTGATAGCTACTCTGAAAGGGACAGGTTTATGTATTTTCGGTAGTACGTATAATCTTAGTGAAAGGGAATTCTTGGGTTTCAATGTTGCTTTAGTTTTGCTGGTGAGCTTGCTTTTTTTTATTAAAAATACTGATGAATGATCTTGTTTGTTGAATCTTTATCCAGCCTATTCTTACGTTTCATTCGAAAGGAGTGTCTTTATCTTCATCCTGTAATCTAATGTATTCATGATCACTGTCGCCTTTATTGAAAATACGATGATGTCTAGGTCTTTCTTTAGTTCCTGCAGTGCCAGTCGCTCTTTTCTGTGATGAACATTGAACGCTTGGCCTTGCGAAGGATATTAGCTACATTTGTTCGTATGTCATCTGCTTCTGGAAGGAAATTATAGAGAGTTGATTCTATTTCACTAATTATTCTTCTTTTGGAATGTTATTAACAGGGCAACAGGGGAATTTGGACATACAACAATTACAGGATGAGTCAAACAAGAGAAGTCTTTCTCTTATATCAGGACTCGGCAAGATTTGCACTTCTCGGTCGATTTTCGACTTGGCTCCGCCTTTCGCTATTCCCCTCGCTCCGTGCTCATTATATAACTAAGATAGAATGAAGCAACGCATAAATGCTCAATCTTACGCGTTGCTTCATTCTATCTTAGTTAATGAACGAAAATAAAAAATAGAATGAAGTTTACAGCGTGAACACTCAAAGTGGGTGGATTTTATGTCTACGAGCATCATACGCTCCTAAATGTTCAGGCATTTGAATTGCGCGCGGGACAAGAGGGGAATAGCGGAAAGCGGAATCAAATCGAAAATTGGTCGAAAAATGCAAATCTTGTCGAGGCCTGTCCTATATGTAAAGGAACAACAAACAGAATCGACAGGATTTTGAACAAACACAATATCCGAATTATTTTTGAGCCTCCAAGGAAGATCGGAGAAATCTTAGAAAAATCCTAAAGACCGAAAACCTTCACTCAGTTTTGTAGAAATATAAAATATGCTCTTGCTCTTGCGGGAAAGTATACATTGATGAAATCGGAACGATCAATGTACATGAAGAAACATCAACGGGATGTCATATTGAAATATGTTACACAATTATTGTAGCATTGGCAGCATTGAGTCAGGACATCAAATACTATTTGATAAAATAATTACTACAGCTATAACGGCATTATATTTTTCAAGAAAATACAGAGAGGCTTTAGAAATCCAGATAACTTGAACAGAAGCATGGGCTATAAAGTAAGTAAAATATGAATGACTACTCTTCTCCTTCTCCCAATCTTCCAAACATCCTTTCTTTAACAAAGTTTATAGGGAGTCCTCTGGGAGGAACAGTTCAGCTGACGACAGATCACGCTGACGAAGTGCGCTCTTCCTCCTTGATGAAGTGAGCAAGGTCAGCACAAAACGTCAGCATTATGAATGGATCATGGCAATCCACAAATTCTTTTGCATCTCTGTTATATAACCTGTTATATAACACTTATCTAGCTGCAACATAACATGTTATACAAATGTATCATCTTGATTATGTTATTGTACTTTATTATTATATAACAAGCAAATAATAAAATAATGCAAGATATAAGATCTTATTATATATATAAAACAAAATTATATTACAATAATATCACTATGATAAAACATTCTGTTATAATATATCACGTATTATTCCAAGGTTATATTGTAATTATATTTCTGTGTTTGCTGAGTAATTTATATTTTTCACAGACACTTATAAATTTTTAAAAGTATGAGAAATGTTTTCATTAAGAATATGCATAAATATAAATTAACTTTCTAATAGTTATATAATAATAGTAAATTACATAAAAACAAGCATTCCAAGACAAGAATAAGAGAATAAAATCAGTAGCACTCAAATGCCACGAAAGGTCACACGATACTAGTTAGAAAACTCTTTTGCAGGTTACTTATCAAAGCTTACGAATTTCAAATAGTGAAATTTTTAGGAAACACGACGCGAGTGATTTTTTTAAAGCGATAATGACAATTATAAAGATTAATTAATGCTATTGCTTTTTAAATTAAATAATGCATGGAAAGAGTAATTAAATAATTATAAGCCATTTTGTATTATTATATGTGCTATACTGTATTTGCTATTATTAATTTTCTCTATCTTAGAATGAATAAAATATTTAAAAATGTATAAACCACAAATATATGTATAAAAAAAATTTGAGTTATTCCAAAATTTTTCCTTTTATAATTCTTAGTAATATTGTTTGAATAACATCACAAAACACATATTGATTTTTTAAGAATTTGTTATGTAATAATAGAAAAGCAATACATAATTTAAAAGAAATTGAATTTAATATTTTTTTGAAATTAAAAAAAATTTTTAAAATCATGAATAAAACTAGACAATACAAAGTATCTAAAATTGGGACATAAGACATCTTTTGTGACTAAAAGATGTTTTAAAGACATCTCAATTTTGGACTTTGTATTGTCTGGGAAGTTTCTATAAATACAAATATATGACATTCTGATTACAATTCAAGAAAAATTATTGCTTATCGCTTACAAAATCTCTATCACAGCAATATTTGAAAATCATGTTCACATTTGTGTTCCGACTAACAGTTTACGGTTCATCAGCAATACTATTACAAATATCTTTAATATGTCAAAAAATGATCAAATATCAAGTCAAATAGTCATGTCTACATGTCTTTTTTAATGTGCATTATCGAAAGCATATTTGATCATATGTTAAATTCATAATAGTACTGCCGACAAAACTGATACCAAAACCGTGAAATCTATCTTGAACACAAACGGGGTTCATGATATCTCAAAGTTACTGATGACGTCGTGTTTTCTAACTACGCTGAACGTTTAGGCGTAGTATTTTCTCTTTCTAACAGTGCAAATCCCCGACGCTTACCTTTCTTGATGAGCAAGCTAGTGACCCTCCGTAGCGCCTCACGAGTGCTGGAGGCGGAGCTGTGCTTACTTTGGCCGAAGTATTTGTTGGGTGTGATGTTTGTAGGCAGAGTCAGCGGCTTCCTCTGGTCCCCGGTGCCCGGTAACCGTGCATCATAGGCGTTGTTCAGCCGTTCGAGATGTTCGATTGACGCCGGCCGTGGCTGATTTGCTTTTCTGGTGGGATACCATCCGCGATTCGGGCCTCCTGCCAGTCGGAGAAGTTCAGTGCCGATTATGGCCTGCTCCAGACCAGGATTGTTTCGTCGATAGCTGAAAGTGAAGCAACAAGATCAGTAAAAAATGACTAACTTATTATGTATAAAGCATACTTAAAAAAGAAAGAAAGAGTCCAAATCAATTTTAACAAATGGACTAAGAATCTTGCCCTTATTTTTTAATCGCTTTTTGTAATAAAAGAATTCTATAAAAATTTCAAAAATTAGTCAACTATAAAGCATTTTTCAACAAGGAAAATGCCTTATGATTGACTAAGACCAGATCTAATCTAGATAAATTAAGACATTGGCAAATTGAAAAATAGTACAAAAGTAGGACACCAGAAATATTTTTTATTCCTGCATTCTTTGAACTGGTGCACACAGTGCAATAAGTTGAAGTGACACAAATATATTCGTTTCACTTCAATTTATTGCATCATGTATATCCGTTCACAAAATGCAAGAATAAAAAAGATCTTAAATAAGATTCTCACTTATTGGTTGCAGTACTATTTCCATGGGAACCGATTGTCTAATAGTATCCTGTGCCCCGGTAAGGTGACCCATTGTACATAATAGTGGAGATCCTGTCATGTAATCTGGGATTTCAACCAACCAGGAATTGAGCTCATTTACAGCGTAAACGAATGGGAATTTCTACAATGAGTTCAAAACTTGATTGGGAACGCACTTACACACAGTTCAATTTCACACGCCGCTCTATTCTTAGTAATTTTTCACTGCTTCACCAATGAGATTGTATTATTTTAAATTAGTCAATTAGTAATGTGAGCAATTGATATACATCCGACAGATCCTCCTGCTACATTTTCACTGTGCATCCGTTAAAATGGGTCATTTGTCTAATTGTATCATGCTTTATAAAATGTTCATGATATGTGCCTTATTTGTGTTTTAAGGAGAGGCCGCCTGTATTATCGATAAAATTAAGGTTTTTGTTTGAAATATCCAAATATTTTTGCACTTAAAGTGAGATAGATATATTGTATATTTGCGCGTTGAAAAGGAGAAAGCGAAGATGCTGAAAGTGCAAAAAGTGCAAGCAACGCGAAGACCTCATGATAATTTTTTCGTATTAATTTTACAAAATAAAAATTCCTTTTTTATGATATTAAAAATGTTAATATAATCACAATATATCTGCCTCTGGTGTATTTGTATCCAAAATTGAAAAAAGAAAAAAATTACAAATTTCTTTATCCATTTTTTAACTCAGTTGGTAACTTATCAGCTTACTAAAACATTTACTTTGTAGAAAAATTATGCAGGTTATATGCTCAAAATTAGAACAGAGACAGCTATAAATTTCTATGTATTACACTAGAATGATAACGCTTCACATTTCTTTACTTAAAAGTACTGTCTGCACGAATTAGATGTAAAATAAGATCATTACTTGATCACACGTACAGAAAAGAGATGCCAACAGGTCATGTGATCAACCTTTCCGTAATTGATTCAAAATGTTATACATCTCCAATTGGAGATTGATGCAAGCTGTATATTTCTCTCTGTGATATGAAATGCGTGGGTCTTATTTTGAATATGCATATATTTTTGGCAAATTTTAGACAACACAGTTAAAGGGATAAAATTAGCAATCTAGTGTAATATATAAAAGTCTGGCAGATGTAGATGATCTCCAGATACGTATATGAAGTACAGAATCGAACCCGGATCTTTAAATCATCCTAGACCTAAAGCCATACGTGTCACCTTCTGTACGTTTCTGATATGATGATATTTAACAATAAGCCAACTAAATAGTATCATTATTTTTTTATCATAATATGGTATAGGAAAATGATAGAATCGGAGAGGACTGTTCCTACATCCCAAAATGAATGCATCTGGACATGTTGAAAATTTGATGTTTGAAAAAAGAGTATCCGGAAAAGTCGGATGTATGGTCATCCTATAATTGACTGACCTTAATTTTACACAGTGAGTTCATTTAGTATTACAACCGTTCTCTGAGCACTCAAAAGCTCTTGCTCCTGTTTGATCTATATTTTTAGATTTAACGGAATGTGCCTTTCAGATGCACCTAATGTAACATAATGAATCATTACATTCTTGTTGTACACCAACATTAAAACAGGATGAAATAATTCACTATATTACACTGTGTCCTTGCTGGGAAACGTCCATAATAACATTGTTCGACAAATTAAAATTTTTTTTAGATCACGAACGAAATAGAGAGATTCTTACAGATTTTTTATCGTTGAAAATAAATCCATAAATGAAATTGTTGATCAAGTTACGTTTTTTGGAAAATTGAAAAATTTAAAAGTATCGAAAATGCCATTTTCGATACTTTTTAAAATAATGTGATAGAGCATTTCATTTACGGATTGGCTTTTAGTGACAAAAAATTTATCTATTTTTAAATTTTAAATTTTATCTATCTATTTTAAATTTTATCTATTAAAAATTATCTATGTCTTGTATTAGCTGCTTTATATAAGAAGTAATAGTTACAATGAAAAGAGAGGAAATTAAATTTGATTTTTTTTTTAAAGAGTGGCAAAATTTTCAATCTTTAAGAGATTCCACTTAAAAACATTTAGAGAATACATATATAAAAATTTTCAGTGAATACTCAATAATTCTTCAATAATTGGATCTTTCCTTTAGTATGATTGGTTCTTTGCCGAATTTACATGTAAGAACTAATAATATTAAAGAATCACTCAGTGTTTACTGATCAGTTTTCTCTACTGAATATAACCAATATCTATTCTGATATTTTTCAAGTGCAAAACAAATAAGGAATATTGATGCTTACCCGGTAGCTGTGGTAGGTGCATACCAGCCAGGTTGCCGCCTTGACTGCGTAGGATTGCCAGCATGTTGTGGTGTTCTAGGGATATCGCTGCCTCTGGCGAACACTGGAGTCTCCGGTAAGGAACATGATGTCTGCATACCGGAACCAGTGCTGATAACGACGCTGCTACCAGTATGCAAACCACTACCGTTGTTGCTGCTCCCGGAAGAGCATGCCTCCGCTGATGGTGAATGCCTTTTCGTAAACGGTCGTCGACGAGATGGTCCTGGTAAATCGGTGGGCAGAGTTCTTCGTTCCACAGGTACCTGAAGGACAAAAGAACATTTAATTAATAAGAACAAGAAACATATCCCAAGAAATATAATTAATAACACTACAATCTCAAAATTTTAAAAATCTCATATATAATAAACTTAAATGTAATATGTGTGCACTTGCACACAATTCAATTGCACAGCACGTACCTCTCACATCGGTCGATGCCAAGTAAATTTAAAATTAATAAATTATTAATTTTAAATTAATTTAATCAAAGAAATACTATTAATAGAGTTAATTATATTCAAAGATAGATAAGAAAAAAAATGGACGATGTTTTATTTAATAAGAAAATATTTCGGCGAAGTATTTTATAGAATATACCCGGATAAACAGCAAGCAGTCGTTTTGACATCAATAGTCATTTTAGTATATTTATGTTATGTTACTTACTTAAGTTGTAATAATGTAGTCATCTTTTTGACCAATTAATGTAATTTATTCATTCTACGACATATTTACAACGTTCGCGCGCTCGGCTTTACCTGCTTGACTTGTCGACAATAAAATTTGTAATTAAGTCTTCGAATTTCATTCTCCAACTCAAGAGACCATTCTTAATGGGTTAAAATATTAAATTGTGCAAAAAAATTCGATTTTTTATGCTAATTCTACAATGAAGTCGATAATCGATAGTCCCAAGTTTTATCGAAAGTTGACCAATAGTTAATTGGCCAATTTCACCAATTAAGACTAAAACTTCCAACTCATTGTAGAATCAGTATTACATGAAGTGTCCCTCTCTTAAATATTTTGTGTATTATAACTCTAAATCATTAAATCCAAAGTATTGCAGCAACATTGCAACATTATATTGCAATAAGATAGCAAATATTGCAATAATATAGTACTAACAAGGAACCCATGTTCTTCTTCGATTTTAATAGCTAAAAATGTTTTTTTTTTAGATAAAAAGGACATGTACTTTTGTTATAAGGGTTTTAGAACATGCAACACTTCTTTAAAGAAAATCAGTTATCCGAATATCGTTAAATTATCGACAATCTTACTTTTATCTGATCATGACTAACATGTTTTATTAATTGATTTTAATTAAAATGATCTGTGTGACTTTATTTCAAAATTTCTTATAAATACGATTTCTCTATTCTTTGTTAATACGCTCTTTCTCCTCATATGACAAATCACTCTCAATTTTGAATTGTTGAATTAAATATATCCTAAAAATTTTGATGCAATGTATATATCGATTTTAGAATTTCTTACGTATTATTTTTACTACCAAATTTTTGCAAATTTTTACATTCCTCCCTATATAGAGGAAGGAATGTATTAAATCTTCGGAAAAGCAATGCTAATGATGACTTCAAAGCGAGTCGAAATATTCGACATATGTATAAATACCAAAATTATAAGTTTAATTGCGTTCTAATCTCATTTGTGTAAAATTTATTATGGTAATATTAATTTTCTATTATATAGTACATGATATAAATGAGTATTTCATATTATATGGTAAATAAATATATAATTTAGGAGAGCCCCCACCCCCCGCCAATGGCCTTGACCTTGACATATGTTGTCAAGGTCATGACTCTGAGAATGACCTTGAGAAAGTTTTAACCGTCGGACGTCACTCGTTAAGAAGTTATAAATAAAAGAAGTTTAAGAAATAACATCCATTTCTGCTATATAAAATAAAAATTTGACTCCTATTCCACTTCCCTGTCTGCTTGGAGGTGCACGATTTTCACTTAAAGGGACTCCTCCCACCTCTCCTTCTGTTTGAGGGCACACGACTGTCACCTATATTTTTTCAGATGAAAGTCGTGTATCTCCAAAGTAAGGGGGGGGAGATAAATGGGGGAATCGCTTCAGGTGAAAGTTGTGTGCTCCCAAGCAGGAGGGGAGGTGGGGTGGGAGTGCTTTACGTGGAAAGTTGTAAAATACATTTTAAAGCAGAACATTTCCATTTTATAAATTTCATTTTATAAAAAGAGATATCATATACGTTATTTCTTAAATTTCTTTTATTTATAACTTTTTAACGAGTAATGTCTGACGATTAAAACTTTCTCAAGGTCACATAAGGTCATGACCTTGACAACATCAACATATTAAAGTCAAGATGAGAAAGGGGGAAAACTCCTTTAAATTATATTTATCTACTATATATATATATTATTTATAATATTTATCATAATATTATTATACATTATTATTATTTTACCATATAAACAGTTACATAAAAATTTGCAAGCAATCTGAAATGGGAAAAATGCAACTTTATTTAATCCCCGTCGAGAGACTAAAATTATATGTTTCCTCGAGTGAATACTTCAAACAAACTAACTCACTTCTCGCCTGGAATTATTGGTGGTCGGTGTACGTCTCCCCTTGGTAAAACCGGCATCCATAGATCTGGTATTCAAAGAAGCCTTATCTTTCGCGTCGATGATCGATGGAACACGATGGGGTGGTACCCTTGGCCTGTACTCTACAGTTCGGCTACTGTGACCCTTGGATTTCAGTGGCGTCATCACGGCGTTTTGGCCGACATCCGAGCAACTTTCTTCATCAGCTTCCTCGACGGGCGAGGGCGGCAATGGCGGGAACTCCATTACATCAACATTGACCTGTCAAGATATAGCAAACTACAGTTCAGAAGCGATTTCTAAGCTAGTTTTGAAATTAAGAGAAAATTTTATCAACTTCATCGATGAATAAATTCATTCCTCATAAAAAATCGCACTTGCTTGCAATGTAATCATAAAAAAATGTTTAGATTCTGTTTCCGAAAAGAGAAATAAATTTATGGAAAATCAGTCTATCTCTGCATCTAAGCACTTAATTCATCGTGAATCAGTTTCGCGATTTGTGAGAGCAATAAGTTTGAAGATTATTCAAAATAATGTTTTATCAAAATAGCAGCTAGTTGAATAGTTAAAGTATACCCATCATTAATATTTCAAAAGTTTGACGTAATATACATATAAAGAATTCTGGAAAAAATTCAATTTGTAAGGCAAATAGTATTTATTAAATTGAAACATTGCTTGATGAATGTAATATCAGAAGCTAACCGGTTGGATCTTTCTAATATTAAATAAAGCAAATGACTTGCTATTATTTATCGTACGTGATATGAGAATGCTTTTACTGTGATAGATTTAATGTGACAGATTGTATGACTATAATAATACTGTAGAGTTAATAAAAATACTGTAGAGTCGTATGACATCTCTCGATGCAGAAATTTTCAAATCGGAAAATTTAATCTCGCACAGCTTTTGTAAACATTAGAATGAAAATGTATAATATAAGATAATCTATTTTCACATCGCTTACAATAAATAGGAAGAAAACAAATCTTTTGCTTTACCAATCCCGAAAATCACTTCTATTTCTAACAGAATTGATTTTTTGAATGATTCATCAGAATTTTTTACTCAGTTTATTGAGTAGTAATATCTTTACTTTGCAATATTTACTTTACAAATCCTAAACTTTTTTTTCAAATATCATATTATGTTTTGACAAACATTATTGCGAGATATGTATAATCAAGATTTAATTTTACAACAACAAAAAGACTCTAAAGAGTTCAATATACAAATTTTCAATGGAAACTGGCTAGACTCAAAATAATACCTATAATATGATGAAAGATTCTCGTGGGTATAAATAATCATTCACATCGATGACAATGTCAGTGAGTTTGATATTTTTACTGAAGCAATGAATCGATAATTCATAGTTTTGTATTTGAGAAATGTTTTTAGTAGGTCGAAAAAGTACTAATTGCACTTAAAGAAAAATAGTGATTAAAATTGCATAGTTGACAATATAGTTTTATATGCAGAATTAATGTGTATATATATATATACATATATATATATATGATTGAATAAACTATTTTATAATTATTGCGGCTATAAAATAATATATTCAACTATATATATTAATTCTACATAATACAAAATTAGTTTAATCACCTAACTTAATATATAGTTGCTATTATTATATTTTTCTCTGAATGTGATTATTAATTGTGACATTTATTATTTTTTACATTTTTAATTAAAAAAGGTGAATGTATCTCGAGAAATTTTGATCACGATTTATGTACCAACACTATATCTATTGTCTATAATTTTACGAAAACAAAAACGTAATTACTTAAAATATTCTAAATGAGAACTAATCGAGAGAGTTAAAAATATTAATAGATACATTTGATATAACATTATATGATAAAAAATTAAAACCTTTGACTAGCATTAATTACGTGGGAATGAGTAAAAACGGATTCGCAGACAGCAGGCTGCATGCATGGCAATTCTTTAGATATTTCCACATTTCACGACGAAAAATGCGATCATGGAGCCAGCATCGCTAATGGAATCCTATTTTATAGAGATAATACTACCAATTTATAGATGGGGCGGCCCGCTTCGATCCTAGCTGTTCGACATCTTTTCACCATCTTTCCGCGGCACACGCTCACCACGAACCATATAACTTCCGCATTTTTCACGACGCAGATGCACCTTAGTAGCGCTTATCGTAGAGATAGACTCTATTTCCGTTGCGTCTTTTCGCGTCAACATTTTAAGCGACATAGGCATACAAGGTAACGCGATTGATATTCATGAGATATTTGAATTATGCGATCAAGTTCACGAAACTCACTGATTCCACTCCTACCTGAAATTCCGAATTCTTTGAATCTTCCAAAATAGCGTCGATCACGTTCTCGATCTGCTTCTGATCGTTTTTGTGATTCTCGATACCATTCTGGCGCAGTCGTCTGCCGGATGAGTAGACGACATCAGTGGCACCGTTCAGTTTTCTCCGATCCTCGAAGTCCGCGTCCGAGCTGGTCTTTGATGTCTCGGAATCAGAGTTGTACTGCTGTTGCTGCTGCTGCTTCTGTTGCTTCTGCTGCTTCCTATCGCGCGTCCTGCTGTCATAGGGGCTGCCATCGATCGTAACGGGTTTCCGGCTATCGTAGACCGGAAACCCGTCATTCTCGAAACTGTTCCGCTTCGAATTATGTTTCAGGTCACCGTTCTGCCAGAGTTTGCTTTCGCAATAGGATTCGCTGTTCTTCACGTTCTCGATTTCTTTGATTGCGTCGCTCACCTTCTCCAGTTGCCGGCGATTCTCTTTGAGCGCCTTTTTCACAATCTGATCCTCAATCAGCAAGTTCACCGGGATCTTAGAAGCTAGTCTCTCATCGCTTACCGCGCTTGTAAGTTTCTTCTTTGTCATGGCCTCGGCGAGTGCACTGTTCGCCGATAATCTACCAATATCCAAATCCGCCAAGTTAGACACTGTCGAACCGTTGCAGTCTCTCGATTGATCCAAACGATTCATTTGATCATCCTCGACTGGCAACAATGGTAGCCGAGAAAATTCGATGTTGTCGCGCTCCTTGTCCTTATCCGAGATGTCGGATGCCTCTTCCTCTTCTACGGTGATATCCAACTGAGCTCGATTGCTGGCGTCGTTATTGATCGCCGGCATCGACTCGACTCGGATAAGATCCGGCGGTGGTACCGGAATCATAAATTTTACCGGTTCATCCAGACTCTCCAATTTACCCTCCTTCAATAGACTTTTGATGTTGTCAAAAGTGCTCGAGTATCGTTTTACATCTGACAATCGACTGTCTTTCTCGCCATTCTCGAAAGACAGACTCTTGGTCTTAGTCGGCGTTTTCGGTAGAACTTTGCGCTCTTTCTTGCGGCCACGTCTGATGACATAAGTGCCGTTTTTCGTAAGCTCTTGCGGCTGTATCTGATCGAGATCGTTCGTGGACGAATCCGAATAAGGCGAGATCAAATCGTCGTCAGTCGTTGACAGTCGCTGATCTTGCCAATCGTCGAAGTCGCGCAATTTCGACACGGAACCTACACCTGAAACGTGATAAACTCTTTCATCCATATCTTTACTTACTTCCTGTTGTTTGTGTAAATTGATGCAGATGGAAAAATAAAGATAAAGCTTGATTTTTTCATAATTCTGTTTGTTTGAAACTCAAATGAAAAAATGATTTCGTATATATTTATATATATATATATATAGATTTTATTAGGTTCAGCAAAGATCTGTCGTTTCCTATAAAAAAAAGTTTAAAGTGCGTAAGAAGTGCAGCAAAAATATAAATTTTATTCCAAAAGACAGAATTATTTGAAAGGCTTAATATTGCATATTGCAACGTTTATTTTAACAATTCGAGATAAATTTGAGATATGTGCAGATATGTTATTGTTAATAAAAAAAGTTAAGAATTAAAAATATATATAGTTAGACGTATAGCTTATTTCGTGATGAATTCTGACAGATGATATGTTGACCTTTAAGATCAAAGTCATTTATGACCGTTTAAGTTTTCCTATTGCTAAACGTCCAAAAATCGTTCTTCTGTATTCGAAAGGTAAAAATTCTATTCGATCTTGAATATTAATACACTGATTTATTCTATCCATAAATGATAATTTCATGCTCTTGAAAATTGTCTTATTAATTTATTGGCAGGCAATTCTAATCTGATCCTTCATATTTTCAGAAATGATTAATAGTTCTTTCTGGTAAACTTCTTTTATAAAGTCTCACAAAAAAATTTAGAAATATTAAATCTGGGGATGGGAAGAGGATCCTACTTAAGAAACATGTTGTTCAATATTTCTCGAACTCATTCTCATTATGGGAAAGACTATCATCATATTAAAACCACATCTGTATTCTAGCAAGTATGTCTTTCAAAAGGACTTGCAGTTCATTGATCAGAAAATTATTGTAGATCCTGTTATTGTTAATGTATCATAAAAAAAAAATAGAAATTCTATGTGTTCATCTACTATATATCACACCAAACATTTAACAACTGACAATCAACTGACCGGTGCCAATAGAAATTCCCATTGGATCAATAATGATAATTGTATCAATTTAATTTTCCACTATTTTTGAAAGTGGCTTCAGAATATATAAGAAAAAAAGAAAGGGTCATGTAACGTTTTTTCCGTTGAGATCATTTACAAAACTGCGATCTGACATATTCAGCATCAAATACTTGATACAAAGAAATATAAAAGAAGTGAAAGTTTATTCTAGATGCACTAGATCATGGCTAATAATTTTCTATGTGCCAAGTATGAGAAGTATGTGCCTGATATGAGAGTTAAGAGTACAGTCACTGCTCCGAGTGTTACAATCGTTGAATTTTGTGAGGACTACTTACGCTGATGTCGATATATCCTTACCGGGCATAAAGTTTATGATCGATTTCGAAGTACCACATCACGCGTTAGTGCGATACGAAAAGGTTTCACAATACAACCGTGCAGCTTCCATGTAAATATGTTGACATTCTTCAAAAATCAGAATCGTATCGATAATTTTATATTTTGTTAAGCGTATACTGTGTCATTGTAAATTGAATTGTTATCGAAACGAAGTACATGTAATGCTAGTCACAATATTTCCGAAGCGAATGTAACACGCAGATAGCAGTCTTTGTTTCTAAACATAAATAAAAACGATAAACGGAAAGAAAATTTAAACAGTCGCAAATGACCTTGAAAGGTTAACATATCATAAGTTGAATTCATCATGAAATAGGTTATAATTAAAGGCGTTTTAATTGAAATGAAAATATATATAATCAAAAAAAAAATAAAGATTATCTCAAAATCTGAAGGCACGTCCGTTTAGAGAAGATCTATGATCAAAAATCTTCCTCGAAACAAAGTAAGTTCAACTTGAAACATTTTTGTAATAATAAATAATTTGGGAGATAATTGCATCTGATATAGAAAAATTGTTTTTTTTTTATGACAAAATAATGCCATTTCCAAGGTTGAACAGTTCAACAAAATTACTTTTTGTAAGCGTCAAAAAGTATTATCTCTCTGTTCTTCTGTAGTTCCTTGTATATGAAGTTATACAATTATTCAAAATAATAATTATTCAAAATAGTCTGTTATATCACAATTTCGAAAAATTATAAATTAAAGTTGAAAAAATTTATCGTAAGATACTTTACCGGTCTCCTAAATTTGATGTCAATTTCTGTAAAAATTTCTCACGTTTAATGTGATACAAATGCAACATTATGTATGTATATATGTATATATTAGATTGTCAAGGAAAATAAAATTTTCTTTTTAATTGGTCTCTCGATTCAAAAGCTTCCATTTCCATGCCAAAAGAATATCTTAAATTTTTATCAAAAAATA